GTGTGGCAGTCTTGATGTCTTGAATGGATTCAATGGTTACCTTCCACAGTCACTTTGACTCTGGGGAAGAGCCAGATGTCACATGGCACCAGATCCAGTGAATAAAGTAGATGACAACACCCTGTAATGATTTTATGGCTTACCTTTCTATTGAATGGAACTTGGTAGCAGCACTCACTATATGTCTGACCACATCTCACAAAGATACTAACAAAAGAAGACTGCCCTAACAGCTTCAGAGAATGGCAAGAACCATAGATGTGTTCAAGCAAGGGGGAGTATTTTGAGCATGACTGATGCCACTGCAATTTTACTATATAATTTCTTTTCTTAAATTTTAGATGTGCCGGCCCTGCCCCCGGGGCACACTAAGATGGCAATTGAGACTGGCTGTGGTGGTGCAAGCCTGTAATCCCAGCTCTTGGGAAGCTGTAAACAGGTGGCTGACTATGAGTCTGATCTAGTAGTAAGACCCTGAACACCCTGTAGACCCTTCCCTAAAATTAAAAAAAAAAAAACAGAAAAATTAAATTTTAGACATTCACAATATTTTTGATCAGCTTTTATGGTGTATATGTCCTACAAAGTCTGAAATATTTATTTAACCTGTACTTTACAAAAAAGAACTGCCTACCAACTACTCTCTTGACTAACTGAACATATTACATGAAAAATTATATCAGAAAAAGAGAATATAAGATAAAGGAAAAATTAAAGTGTATGTCCATACTTTATCCTTTAAGAGGGAGTTTGACACAGCAAAAAGGAGACAAGACCAGATTTCATAACATGATACCAAAAAAACTGCACTGCTCCAACCTGAAAGTCTTCAAGAACTAAAAATCTAGTGCGCATGCTGTTGCGTATCTATAACCCCAGCACTCGGGGAAGATGAGTCAAGTTCATGCCAGCCTGGCTAACTTACCAAGACCTCAAGGCCCTGTCTAAAAAAAAAGCTAAAATTGTAGCTAAGTGCAACTGGTTCAATTCCCAGTAATGGAGCCCCAAAAACCAACAACTAACCGAACAAAATAAAATCCTATTGGCATATGTTTTCTCCAACTATATACAGTGGATGCAGACACAAAGCAAGAAGCATGGAGATGCCCCCACCAAGAAACAAATTATAGGGCTTTAATATTTCTTAAATAACCTTCACTGAGAGCTGGCAAAATACTTCAGTGGACTAAGTACCTACTAAGGCAAGTGCAGGGACTGGGGTTCGATCCCAGCACCACATGCCACACCAGCCCTGCCCTCGGGCATGCTGGAACTGAGCGTGGTAATGCATGCTCATAATCCCAGTTCTGGGGATCCTGAAAATAGGAGGATCACTAGAGTCTGACCTGCATTGTGAGATCCTGTACCAAATACATTTAAAAACAAAAAAACCAAAAACCTTCAACCATCACAGAGCCCATGGTAAAGTCAGGGAGAAATGTGCCATTAATGTAAGTTCTAGGTGAGAAGTCAAACTCCAAATTCTCTTTCCAGTCAAGTCTGACCTTAAACTATTCATATGACTTTCCAAGGTTTATTCTTTTCTCTGGAAATCAGGTATGCTAAGCAATCAAGAGAATTATCTATCCCAACTCCTAAAACAAGAGGAGTAAAGTGCCTGCAAGCAGGTACAAGGGCCAGGGGTTCAATCCTTGGGCCTGCCATGCTGGGCCCACCCCCAGAGTACACTGAGACAGCAATTGAGACTGAGTGTGGTGGCGTATACCTGTAATCCCAGCTCTTGGGAGGCTGTAAACAGGTGGACTACTATGAATCCGATCTAGTAGTGAGACCCTGAACACCCTGAAACCCTTCCCTAAAATTAAAAAAAAAAAAAAAAATTAAAAAGAGGTAAAATGAAAAGAAAGGGACTGAGAGTGAACAAACTTCAACAAAGTTTTGCTTTCTTCTTTACAGCAGACAAGATAAAATTAAAATAGAAATATCCTTTATCAGAAAATCATAGATTTAGAAATAAACACAAAATGAGATTCAGTGATACTAATCACTATGAAATCAGGATAGAGATATTAAAACAGAAAGCCTAAAGTTGCTACAAGATAGAACAGGTAGAATTCTTGAAGACATACGCGTAGACTAAGACTTTATGAACAGAACTCCAATTATACAGGAAGCTCTAACTGCACAGGAACTATCACAACGAATCGACAACTGGGATCTCATTAAAAAGCTTTCGTACAATAAAAGAGATCACTGACAGAGTAAAGAGACAACTCAGGGTAGAAAAAAACCTTTTTGCCAGCTATTCCTCAGATAAAGGAGTAATGTCTAGAATATATGAAGAACTCGAAATAATCAGACCTTCCCCCAAATTTAAAGACTCAATCCAATGATGGACATCTGAGGCAGATACTTCTGAGATGCAAAAGTAGAAACAGCAAATAAATATATGAAAAAATGTTGAACCTCACTAATTATTCGAGGGATGCAAATTAAAACAATGTTGCAATTCTATCTCCCTTCAGAAAGAATGGTTATTGTCAAGAAAACAACCAATAACAAATGCTGGAGGCACCGTGGGGGAAAAAACTCTTCTTTACTGCTGTGAGGAGTATAGACTGGTGCAACCACTGTGGAAATCAGTGTGGTGGTTCCTTTTGATCTAGCCATTTCCTTCTTGGTACCTTACCCCAAAGAACTGAAAGTATCATAGCCCAGCAATGTATGTACACACGTTTATAGCAGTACAGTCTGTAATAGGTAAATCTTGCAAATAACCCCAAATACCCGAGGATATTTGATACTTCTGAGATGAAGAAGTAGAAACATAACAGAGGATGTTATTTCTCCCTTCATAACAGAGGAACGGATAAAGATGTGCTTAAAAAAAAAAAAAAAAAAAAAAAAAAAAAAGGACTAGTCTGCCATAAAGAAGCATAAAAATGATATATTTTAAGGTAAAAGAATGATTTTTTTTTTTTTTTTTCCCCAGGACCGGAGACTGAACTCAGTCTTACTTGCCAGGCAAGCACTTACTCTACTGAGAGTTCCCAGCCCAAAAGAATGAATCTTAAGAGCAAACTTTGAAGGCACAAATTGGACACACATGTTCAAATATCACATGGTTTCTCTGGTGTGAGAAACTGCAAGTGTAAAAAGGTACCAAAATGTGTAACATATATTGTGAAAGAGAAAGAAAATGTTCACATGGGAATGAGAACTAGGAAAGGGGGGTGTGCGGAAACAGCTTTTATAAATAGAAGGGAGAAGGGGTTGAAAGGAAGGGAGGGAAAGGAAAGAAAGATATATTATGTATAGGTACAAATTTCAATGATGAATGATACCATTTTATATGTCTAAAATGTAACAATACAAACTAATTTTTAAAAAAGATGGAGAACTAAGTAACAACTATTTCAATTCAAGGATTTGAATTAGTTCCTTTCTTTCTAGGAGCTTTTGAAACAAAAATACATGTACCCACATGGGGGTGTGCTCTCTTTTCCTCCAGGGATAAAAGCAACATTTATCTGAGAAACGCCTGTCATACAAGTAGCCACCCAGACATTAGTCATGAATATTATCTATAACAAGGGGCGGGTCAAAACAGTCAGAACGTTCATACTACTGTACTTCAATAAAATGAGGCTTGTTTATCACATACGCTTGAAAGTTTGGGACAATACTACCCTTTGCACCCACTAGGATAATTTTAAGAAAAAAACACCACATAGCCCTCTAAAAGGCAAAAATGGCACAACTACCAAGTTTAGCCAAAAAAGGTTGTACTTTAAGTTAGTCCACTAACTTGACTTTCAGTTTTTTTCTTTAACCAGGATGAAATTCTAAAGTACTAAGTATTGCAACATGTTTAAGTTCTGTTGTTTAAAAAAATCAAGGGCTTCAAACCAAAAGGAAAAAAATTTTAAAACCTGAATATGAAATATATAATTACTACAAATAAACCAATTAGCAATTCTACTAGTACATATGAGAAAACATATTTCCATGTACGCTTGTACACAAATGTTCATACTAGTATTACTCACAACTGTCATTAAGTGAAAATAATCCAAATATACAACAAAACATAGTACAACCATACAGTGGACTAATCATTAAAAGAAATGAAATTATGATAAATTCTAAAACAGGGATGAACCTTGAGAACACTATACTAAGTGAAAGAAATGAGTCACAAAAGACCGCATATTGTGTAATTCCATTTATATGAAGTTCCAATATGGGCAAACCTTTTGAAACAGAAGGTCTGTTAGTGTAAGCTAAGAGCTGAGTGAAACAGTGGGGAAGAGGTGGACTGCTAGTGAAAACAGGGTTTCTTTTTAGGGTGATGATTAATGCTGTCATATTAGATGATTAATGGTGGCAACTGTGTAAGTCAGTAAGCAGATGAAAAACCACTGAAGTGTGCACTTTATTTGAATTTTATAGTATGTGAACTATACCCCAATAAAGGTGTTAAGATTAAAACTTAAAACTAATTTTTTCTTCACTAAAAATGAGATAGTGCTTCATATTTTAGATCATTATTAAAGATATAAGTAAAACCTCAGCTTTTGCTGTTGTCAGTTTCTATATAAAGAAATAAAAGTTTAAGAAGAGTTAACAGATCCCACGCAATTCTCACTGTGGCACAGTTCGAGTATGGGGATTACAAATTTCAATGTCTTATGTTCACAGGAAAATGTATTTCAGGGTCAGGGAGATGGCTCAGTGGAATAAGTACTTCCCTGGCAAGCGCAAGGGCCTGAGTTCAATCCCCAGTTCCGCAAAAAAAGAAAATGTATTTCACTGTAATCTTCAAGAGTTCATGTAGGAGAGTCCATTCCAAACCTTAACTGTGTGACATACACCATTTAGTTAATGAAAGGCTAATCACACATCCACCATTCTGGAACAAGAGAGAAGGTAAAATACTATGGTGTCCCTGTACTATAAAAAAAATCTAGGCCTTAAATCAGATACAGCAGACAAAGCTAAACACATTCTATGCCCAGAGTCTTCTTGATGTCACTTACCACACGGGTCTTTATCTTAGGGGTAGTAGTTCCATTCCCTACAGCCACCTGGTCAAAATCTGAACTTAATCTGGTCTTACTTAGAAAATCCACTTCATCTTCAGTTTTTGTGTTTGGCATTGCTGAAAAAACAAGATGGTATGGGAGGGGTCAGAGTGAGGCATTTGAAAAAATTGATTTTTGTGACTATACACAACAAGCTCCAGGTTTCATATGTTTGTTTTTGCCTTAAATGGAAAGTATTCTGCTGTTGGTGCAACTTCTAGCCCCATATCAAGCTTCACTCTACCACACAGTTCTGTGGGTTTTCCCTACCCGTCACTGATTTCATGACAAATTTGTGAGTACAGGGCTGACCTGCATGTAGAAAAACAAATTCCTAAACTGTAGGGGACAGATTAACATCTGAAACTAGGTACTCCCGCCTGGCCACCATCAATAAGGTCAAAGGTACAAGAGGAGAAAGCTACTCAGAATAAGACAAAGCCTCTGACCATATCTGACTATCATACACCCTGATCTACTTCTTGCTGCAGCAAGTATGTATGTATGCATGTATGTATGTATTTGATACAGGGTCTTGCTACACAGTTCAGGCTTGCAGTGATCCTCTTGTCTCAGCCTCCCCAGCACTGGGATCACAGGCATGTGCCACTGGCACAGCATGCAGTAACTGCAACAACTGCACGCCATGCAATACAGGAGATCAAACCTGGGTCCTTGCACTTGCCAGGCAGGCACTTAGACCACCAAGCTATCTCCCCAGCCCCTGAAAAAAAGTATTCTTGAACTTACTTGAACTTTTATTTCTTCCAAAACAATGAAAAGCCAGCAATTTCTTTTCTTCATAAAAAAGTCTCTCTATATTTTTTCTCTAGAATCACAGTTGTCCTCTTGCTGGCTGCGCTATATAGCCCAAACAGTAGTAGTCTTTGTTACCTGGCCACCATGTAGTTAACAAAATATAAGGAGGAGGTGGTAAATTTTTTTCAGGAAAACTTAGGCTTCTGAGACTTTTTAAAAAAGCGGACAGATAACTAAACAGTCAAAATTCATCTCATTGTTCAAATACAAATGGAACTGTTGTGTCCCTTTCATGTGGAAAATTTCCTTTGGTGGTTATTAATCTAGTGATGCCATTACTCTTGGCAAATAAAAGTCTCCCTACACCAAAAATCAGAGAAGTTTCTTTTGGGAGAAAGAAATTACATTAAGATTTTATTCTAATACATGTTCAAAATGTTTCCTTCAATTTAGGAAAGTTACAATTGCATAAATGAGCATTTATAAATCTCTTTTCTTTGAATAGGCAAGGCTTTGTCAAGAGAATAAATTCTGTTGAACTTCATAAAATGTACCTAAAGTTAAAAAATTTTTCTTGACTAAGGAATCTCTTTATGAGAGTACCTGGATCAAAACATTTCTTAGAATAATGGGGGAGGTGTTTTTATTTTATTCATTTGGGGATGTGATTCTTGGCACAACTTTACTTTCCTATACCTATCAACAGAAAATATGTATCTTAGCAACAGCAATCAGTCACAATGGGAAACAGTGATTACTAAGACTTGAGGGGTGCTGACAACTCTGAAAAACTGGCAAGGCTCCATACGCACCACCAGCTTCCTACAGCACCGTGATCAATGCTTCTGAAGGGTGAAAGACCACATTATTTTCTTCTAACTGGCTCCTTCCAAATCATGCTCCAAGTTCATAAAACAACATAGTTAAATCCACCAATAAAATATAAACTTCACAGAAAATACCCTTTGGCTCTGATATCACACTTCGGTGGTTTTTCTCTAGGGCAATGTGACCACGGACTTTCCCAACCCTCTTTTCTGAAGAAAGCACAGATTTCTTCATCACTGGTTACTTTTCTAAGTCTGAGACCATGACCATTGAGCCTACTGTGACTCCTCTGGTAGCAGGGGAAGTAAGCCACCTACACAAAATACACCAACCCAAAAATCCCTCTTGAAATTTGGTATAGTTCTTCCTTAAAACTGTAAAACCTTAAAATTAATTTCTTAATATCTTTACTGTTACATGCTATTAAAAACCTCAGTCTGAAATTCTTTCTGTATTTATCATTTCTCACAGAGAACTTTATATAGTTTACAGTACCTTCGCTTAAATTATGACCATAGCCAAAAGGAGAAACAACTCTGGCCAATGTGGCAAGGACAGAGAACCCAAATAAAAAGAACATAGCCAGGCATCAACTTACAGCCACTCCCATTCTTCTGAAATGCCAACCTGCTGGGGCCCCCCAAAATAGACTTGTTGTGTCTCATTTTAAAAATTAGAGATCTTCTCATTTAAATTCTGAGATAGCAGCCAATACATTTCTATTGTTACAAATCTAAAGCAACAATCTAAAAACCAGAAATCACCAAAAATTCTATCTATGTTCTTAAATCCCTCATGGGAGAGGAGATAAAATGAGTAAAAGTCCTTAAAGGGGAAAAATAAACTGTTTCTACCATTCTTCTTCCTAAGCCACTTGTTGTTGTTTGTTCTCTCTACACCCCACCCCCATGCTCTTAACGTATTCTACACTTAAAGGGATTATCAACAATTACAAAGAGCAGCAAAAATAATCAAACAATAAACAAAAACAGGCTACCTCTTACCTACAAAAGCAATAGAACAGACATACAGACATGTCCTGTGTCTACAGCTGGTAGCAGGTAGTGGTATAAAAGCATGCATTCAACTGACCTTGAAAGACTTCAGAAGTTAAGACAGGGATGACTGCAGTTTCAGCTTCAGTCTCAACCCACAATAAAAAGTTTTAATTCAGCAAGTGTATTTCCCCTGAGCAAGAGTGGTTTCTCTTTGCTGTCTCTGGACATGGTTACCCACAGATGGAACAGGCTGCTGTGTGAGCAATCTGCTCGGTGCAGCTGCTTCACCAAGATAAGCAGACACAAGGTCTGCCCAGTGACAGCAGCTCAGCAGGCTGGGCTTGGACGGAAATCCTGCATTGTACCCATACACTGTGCAGGGTCCTGAATTCCCAGACTCTGCCCAGAAGCCATACGCAATACAACTGGAGGTTGCTACTAACACAGGAAAGGAGGGAACTACCCTTAAGCAAAGCAATGACTTAATGTTATCATTTTGGATGTTGGGCCATCAGCTTAAAATGCTAATTACAGCTATTCATGAAACCACTGTAACTCTAAATATGCCCAGAATTCACATGAGGATGACAGGGAGGAAGGGGGTTTCAAGACTGTAAGTAAAACACATCCTTTGAAGCACTACTTTTTACAATTCTAAAGAAAAGGAATACGCTATGTACATAAAAACATTTGCTAAATTCCTTCATCTTTTTAAGCCACTTGTGATCTAGGCATTGTTTTTGAGGTTTGGAAAGTTGCAATTACTACCCTGTGACAGACAGAGCATTTATAGGTTTAAGTAATGAAGCTATGAATGTACAGTACAGGAAGCAAAATCTTTCCAACCTAAGATGACGTGCATCCCGATGGTGGTGACTATTAACTTGGCAACCAACTCAGTGAGCAAGCAAAGCCTTAAAATAAAACAACAAAGACACCTATCTTTTTACTAGCACACCACAGAGACTCTAAAAGTAACTTGCTTCTGAAGTTATTTATTTTGTATTTTGCTTTGCTTACCTGTTGCTGGCTCCGGCTTCTGAACAGGCAAAGTGAACTTTTCTGGCTCTTCCTTTTCAACAAAGACTCCTGTGAGGGTCTCTGTGGCTTCTTCACAAATACCATCATCCATTTGCAGAGTCTGCCCAGGCAAGAAAGCATGTACTTTCTCTGTAGAGGCCTTCTCTGGTATTTCAGTCACAAGGCCTGACTCAGGACTGGACAGTGACATGTGACAGAGTTCTCTGTCAGTAATCAGTGCTCCTGAGGCCTTGATTCGTTCAATGACAGCTTCTACTATACGGCAGGCAGCCTCCTCTAAGTCTGCCCCCTCAGGGACATGTGCAGCTTGCTTGTCTGAGGGTGAGACCTGTTTGACTTCCCTCCTGACTGCTGGGATCTTGTCATCAAAAGTTGAGAGTCCTATGTCTGTGGGATGCTCCAGTGCTTCATCATCCATTTGTATCTCCTTGGAGTCACCTGTGTTACAACTCAGGTCTGCTCCCTCCAGCTTTTCTTTCTTTCCATCAAGAGGCAACACTGCTGGGGTTGTAGCTTCCAGTGGGCTGATCACACCTTTGTCTGGTAAAGCTCCTGGCAAACTCAGGGTCACACTCTTTTCTTGGTTCAACAAAACTTCTGAAATGGGGATGTCTTGGATATTTTGTGGTATAGCCTTTCTTCTAGGACCATCAGGACCTTGCAACCTATTAACCCCTGGAACACCTATTGTCACATTTCCACTCACTTCACAGGCATTGATTTTCCTTTGGAGTTCAGTGTTCTTCACTTCAACCTCCAGGGCAAAAGGTTGATTGCCTGTAAGCTCCTCAGACACATCTGGCAAAAGATGTGGCAAGAGAGGTGTGCTGTTCTGCTCTGTACCAGAGGCTCCTGGTATCACCAAGCTCTGTGTGACCCCACCTTCAGCCAGCAGGGAGACCAGTGGGGCCACTTCCTTGTTATGTTCAGTTTCTTCCTTAAGACAGGCAGAGGGTGGGACCAGTGAATTACTGGGCCGAAATGCTTTGTCCTCTGTACAGACAGCTGAGATAGGCTTTTCACAGAATCCTGATGTCTCCCGTCCAGGAGATGGTATTCTTTGCACTTCCAGCAACATTCCTGAAGAAAGCACATCTTTCGTAATGGAGGAGCACGTCAATGCTTTATCCTTGTCATCTTGTCCCTGAGCTTCAGAGTTTTGGAGAACTGCCAGTTTTTCTCCTTCTTCAGTCAAAACTGAGCTAGAGTCCAAAGTGGCCTTATCCACACTTAGCAGCGAACAGCCAGCCAGTACTTCAGGGGGTGCTGAGGAGCCAGGGCTCTCCTGCTCTCCAGTAAGTCCTCCAGGATTGATATTCCCCATGGTAGGCTGAAGATGTACAGCAGCAGAGGACGTGGACAGGCCTACAGTGCTGTCTTCTAGCAGCTGTTTATCAGTACAGTCTGAATCTCCTCTGGCCAGGCCATCTTTACACACTATAGGCGTATGTAGTTCCGGGGTTGCTGTTCCCTTTTCTTTCTGGGAGGGGACAAGGGAAAGTGCGTCATCTTTGGTTACTGATTCACTGCCTGGACTGCTTGCCAGAGGGAAAGTGCTGCCTGATGGTACTGTCTGGTCTGGCCCCAGTTCTTTCTCAGTTTTAGGGACCAATGGATGCAGATGTGAAGCTGCCTCAAGCACAGTTATTAAAGGTGTATCTACCTTCAAATCTTTTCCTTGGCTCTTTTTATCCAAAGCTTTGAGAGGACAAAAATCCATGCATTCTTGGCTATCTCTTAAAGGGTGAGAAGAGACTGCAGTTGCTTGCGGGTCTTCTTGGCAGAAAACAGTGGGTGGGTCTTGTGTGTTAGGCTGCCCTGCTGTGGTGATTCCAGGCAGGTCAACTATGTCATTGCAATGTTCTGCAACCATCTCACCACTAGAAGTCACTGTGTTCTGTAGAGAAGCAGAGTCAGTGCCAAGTTTATCACTTCCGGTTGTAGAACAAACCAGTAACTTGCTGTTTTGGTTTTTAATATGAGGTGAATTCATTTCTAAGTTTGGCAGCACATCTCTTTCTAGTGCAGAAAAGGTTAATTCCGAGGGTGACAGAGCCTCATGAATGCCTGCTATAGGAATGCCCAGTTCTAATCCATCTGAAATCCTGTCTTTTGCACCAGCTGGAGTCAACAGAGAGCTCCCACCTCCGAGAGCACTGGCACTCTCCTCACAACTTCTCAGATTTTCATTTTCTGCTGTTTTTTCACCAGGGATTTCTCCAAGACTATATGTAAGGGAGGAATTATCTGGTTTGTTGCCACTCAGGATGGTGGTGGCAGAGGGACAGCTTGGAACACTGGCGTTATCCACAGGCTCACCGGTGTCCTGTACATTGGAGGTTTCAGCTATGCTGATATTAGAGTTCTCAAATCCTTCCTTTGTCCTTTTCCCTGCTTCACACATACTGTTCTGGACAGCTGCACCTGAGTTCACGAGGCTATGTTTCATTTCCCCTGCACTCTCTGGGGTGCTGACATCTGTTGACCTGCTTGCCAGTTTACCTCCAGAGGAAGGCTGGGCCCTGGCCAGCTCTGTGATCGTGTCTTCCTGCAACAAATTCTCTCTGATACACAGAGCCTTCTGGTCTGTGGTCATTCCAGAAGACTTTGTTCCGGTTTCCTCAATTCTGTCTCCACAGGATGAAAGCCCTTCTGTGCCTTTGACTCGAGAGTCAGGCATGCTCTGAATGCAGGTGTTTTGGTCACACACAGTCCTTGATTCCACAGTAGGTGCAGGCTCCATCTCTTCCCTTTTTCTCTGCATGCCTTTATTTTTCTTCCTATAAGAACAGTCTGTATTCTCTTCCTCAATCAGATGTGACAAATCACAGGAACTTTCAATCTGTCTAACTGAACTCTTGTGGCAACACAGGCTAGTCTCAGTCTCTTCAGGAGAAGAAAGCTGCTGGCTGGCTGAGGACGCTGGTGCACAGGGAAGGATCTGGCCATTAGTCTCCAGGGCAGTGGGCAGACTGCAAGGATCCTGTGCTGTCACCGTGGCGAGGTTAAGACTGTCCATCTGTGGGAGGTTTGTTTTCTAGGAGGCAATCAAAACATGCATAAAAAAAACTGCTCTGAAAAAGATGTCACTGACACCTATGTGCAAAAGTTTGTTGGACAAAACTCCCTCATTCTGGTCCTGCTAGGGTTGCAGGATAATCTGATCTAAGCAAATTCAAATTATTTCTTTTCTCATTCATGATAACTTTTCTCTCTTGTATCTACATAGCTATTGGGATGTTAAAAATGGCTCAGAATATAAATAGTTGCCAGGTGTGATGTGCATGCCTGTAATGTCAGCTCTCTGGGGTAGAGATGGGAGGTGGGCATGGGCGCCGAGGCAGGATGATTTCTTATGAGTTTACCTTTATATCCAAATTTCGACAATTACTATAATACTATTTGGTTAATATATAAAAGTTATTTTAAAATACCTGGTTGTTCTCTACTCATTGTTGACCTACTGCAATAATTTAAGATCTACTGCTATCATCTGTCCGCTTATTTATTGAGTAAATATATTATACTATTCCTATCTACTTAGTGAATTTATTGTAGAAGTTTACAAATAAAACAATACAATGTGTTATAGTTAGTTACTAAAGTCCTATTAAAGAGCATAAGAAAAGTGGAGTTTCACTAAAGGCTCATGTCTCATGTGCTATTTTCCTTAAATTATTCAACATTAATTAGTTTCCCTTCCTATCTAAAGTATGACAGTCTCTTTAAACTTATGAAAGCATGCCAGGTATAGTGCCACATGTCTAGTGCTTCAGCACTCTGAGAGGAGGATCACAAGCTTGAGTCCAGCCTAGGCAACTCAGAAAGACCTCGTCTCAAAAAGGCAGGGAGAGAGGAGAGGACATACCACAGTAGGATGAATCTTAGTTCAATCACCAGTACTACATACCACCAAAAGAGAGAGAGAGAGAGAAAGGGAGTAGGGAAAGAGAGAGAGAGCAAGGGAGGGTGCGGGCAAGCAGGCCATCAGTCTTTCAGATTTAACGAAGGGAGGACATCACAGAAGAGAGACCTGGAGAAACAAACCTGAAGAATCTATCTAAGAAGCTTCTAGCACATGTATACTACAAATTTAATTTCCACTAAATTTCTCAGGTTGTTATTTTTTCAAATCAACCACACCTTGTGAGTAGCTTCCAAATCTGCTAATTGATGTTTTCAGGTGGATTAAAAAGAAAAGTAAAAAGGGGGCCTGCCCCTTAGTTCAGTTCTTTAAGTGGCTGCCTCAACAAAGCAGTCAGGCTCAGGTTGCTGTGGTTTGATCCCCACAATGCAAACCAGCCAAACCTGCCCTGAAGGCATTTGGAGCCCCCCCCCCCCAAAAGTAAAAAAAGTTCTAGGAGAAAAACCTGATTTCCTGAGCAGTCCATTCAAAGAAAAAGAAAATGAGTGCTTTAAATCAAACATGAGGAGACGACCGAGGGCCACAGGATCCTGAACAGACCCAGAGCACAGGTCTGGCTAGTGAGTGAGAGGACCCGGGCTGCGGGATCCTGAACAGACCCAGAGCGCAGGCCCAGCAAGTGAGTGAGACGACCACGGGCCCACGGATCCTCATTTGACTCAGGCTGCAGGCCCAGCACGGAACCCTTCAGCAGAACTCCCTGCAAAGAGGCTACAGGCAAGACCAACCCAGCTGATTCAGGAGCAGAACATCTTGCCAGAGACACACAAGGGTTCAACTGTAATGGCTGCAGCAGAAAGAAGTGGAGCACAGCAGCCAGATCCAAGCAACACCCACCTGGAGGAATCTGAACTTCACAGATCCAGATCTGGTGCTAAGGTAATAACTTTATGCAAGCTCTACACCAAAGGTCAGAAGACAGTGGTATACAAAATGACAAAGAGAAGGAACAAAATGCAGTCTCAGGCTCCGAGAACACCCAGTACAAATGCAGAAGACACTAACACTGAGGAAACTGGAAATCACACACCAGATATCTCTGAAATAATAGCGTTGACAGTAAAGAATCAACTGCAGAAAGGTATAGAAGAAATAATTTCAGAACTAAAAAATGTGGTGGTAACTATAATCAAAGAAGTACTAAGTGCTTCTAAAGAATACACTGATAAAAAAATAGAGGAGAATATAAAAATGATGGAACCCCTGAATAAACAATTTAGGAAAGAAATAGAATCTATGAAACAGGTTTAAAGTGATATACAGGAAATTAAAACCTCAATCACAAGCTGGCAAAACCGTTTGCGTGAAAGTGAAAATAGACTTTCTGACCTGAAAGACACCAATTGCAGCTAGTGAAAAATAAGAAAAGATTTCTTTAAAACAACTAGGATGCAGGAAAAAATAATTCAATACCTGCAAGATGATGCAAAGATGAACAATGTGAGACTAATAGGCATCAATGAGAAGAAAGGAGTCAATACAAATGATATAAAAAGAATATGGGCAGAAGTAACAGTAACTGTTACGGTCATTATGCATGTCCACAACACACTAGAACTTTGTGTGATATCCTATCCTCAAATTGTTAGAAGTGCTGGTCATTTATTTTCCATTCCAGTATTTATCTTATGTTTTACTCTTAGTACTTCTTTGCTATCATGAAAACTTTTTCTTAGTTCAATTGTTTTTGAAACATTTAATTTTCTGCATATTGCTTAATCTTAATTTTTGTTCTAAGATTTATACTGTATCTTTGACTTACAATTTATTTAAAAAGACATTTTATGATATTTTCTCCTAGTATTAGAAACTTCAAAAAGTATATTTCCATTTTCTGTTGACTAAAAAAAAAAAACAACAGAGGTTTGTACCTATGTTGTTTGCTTATTATTTCTTGCCTATATCTTGTAATATGAGACACTACTTTGGCAATAACAATACACAATGTACTAACCATTGTTACTCTCCTACAATCGTTTGAGATTTTGTACCACTGTTTTTTTTTTCCTTTCTTTAAAATAAAAATAACTGATGTCAAAAATTTAAAAAATAAAACAAATATGATTTTGAAAAGCAAAGGTAGGCACATTAACAACCCTCCTGTGGAATTTTTGGGCCTGCTGGCCTCAGAAACAATGCCTGCTCCTAAAGAAGATGCTGGCACCAAGCTAACTCTAGGCAATCTCAAGTGAAATCATTACAAGCTGTTTCCAAATCCAATCAGCCCTGAAATAAACTGAGTGAAAAAATTTTCCCAACTTACTTCTTCAAATGTTATGACCAAGAGAATGTACCCATAGGACACCTACGTTAGCCATAATTAATGCTACCAAGGAATCTGTAATGCTTTTATTTCTGAAAACATCTTTATCTTGCAGACTTGAGTGAATTACAAAATCTTTTTTTTTTGTGATCTTGTAAACAATCTATCAATTTAAATATAGTAACATTATCATCACTCACTAAAATAGTTGTGAAAGGCTTAAATGAATAAATTTGGTTCTTGTTCTTTAGCAACAATTTCATAAACTGGTTTTCTTCATTTAGCTCTATAAAGTTAAACCAAACAGACATATTTTATGCCTTGTAATTTAGTTTTAGTTGTTACATACTTCTATGTTTGCAAAAGGTTATGTGTATCTTTCATTACTTCAGAAACATAGCAAAAATCAGTTTTAAAATCTCAGCTGCCTTCTACCATGCTACATTCTTAATGCTAGTTTATAAGTCAAGTGGTGGTATCAAATAATACAAATACTGCTTCATAGGTTTCATGATCTTTGGTAGAAACATTTTTACGTTCAGAGTATAGCAAGGTTCACTAGGCAAGACGGCTACATACACACACATCTCAAATGGAAAACTATCTTCCTTACCATTAGCTGCTGTTGGATGTCCATAAGTTTTAAAATATGTCCAGAGCAACTATCTCCAGGAAGTGCGGGTTCACAGTTGGATTCTGATGCAGAGGTCAAAGTATAGATGTCCAACTCCCGATGATGCCTCACTGAACAGTCTCCATAAGGGAATTCTTGGGATAAACTGCTCCAGGAGTCTGGTTCCCCAGCATTCTCCCTGCAAACAAGCAATCTCTGGTTAACATATGAATTCTACATGCTAGTTGTAAGAATAAGACCCTTTAAGTATAATGTCATATTAGATGTCATAAGTAATCTGACTCTTCTTTGTAAACATTTTCCTTACATAATCCCATGATTCAGCATGTAACAAAGCCTCCTGTTTTCCTAAGAAGTCATAAAAGGGTTAGATTAAAAGCATAGGATTCTTAGGCTAGTATGATAGCTCAGTGGACTGAAGTGCCTGCTTAGGCAGAGCGCAGCAGCCCAGATTTGATGCCCAGTGTGCCGAGCTGGTCCTGCCGCCTGGGGCACGCTGAGACAGCGATTGAGACTGGGTATGGTGGTGCCCGCCTGTAATCCTAGCGCTTGGGAGGCTGAAAACAGGAGAATCACTATGAGACTGATCTACACAGTGAGTCCCTGTCCTAAATTCATAAAAAAAAAAATAAATAAAAAGTATAGGATTCTTCCTTAAGTTTTTTCTTTGGATCAACGTTTTTTAAAAGGTCAAATTTTATCCCAGCACTGGGGAGGTTGAGAACAGGAGGATCACTATGAGTTTGAGCTGTGTAGTAAGACCCTGCACACAAAAAAAGTCAAAATTTAAAGCAATTAATATTTTGCTAACAACCAAATAATGAAGAATATAATCCTGGTTTTCCATAGAGGACTTATTAAGAATTGCTTTTAAATATGGATGTACTAATTATAGTTGACTATACTGGAAAGGGAAGAATCAGTCATTTCAACCCACAAAAGTGTATTCTGACTTTATAAACAATACTGGAAATGTTTCAAATTTCCTGCAGTTAACTACACAGAAATAAACAAAAAACCCTACAATGTCAGATTATATTGTCCTTGTCAACAAAATTTTAAAAATCCCATTTTAAATGAAGTTCTTGGTTCAAAGAACTTCAATTTCTTTAATTTTGAAAAACAATTTTGCTCAATTTATGTCATTATAAACATATACCAATAAAGCTAACAAAGCGGCCAGGCATACAACCAAGCATTTCTGGCACAGATCACAAACAAGAAATCTCACTGGGCATTGTGGCACACATATAATCCCAGCTACTCACAAGACTAAGGCAGAAGGACTCAAATTTGAGGTCCATTTAAGTGGTAAGGTGAGACCTTGTCTCAAAAAAAAAAAAAAAAAAAAAAAAAAAAAAAAAAAAGGTGGGGGCGTCACTCAGTGGTAATGCATACCTAGATTCAATACCCAGTACCAAGTAAAACAAACTCCACACATGAACACAAAAAAATGTCTTGGATGTGGTTCTAATGATGTTTCCAGTACAGTAAGTAAGTCAATTACTTGATCAAGGAAGTGATTTCTTCTATAAAGACCACAGCACCTCAAATTTAAGCATTACATCTGGAAGATAAACCCATGCCCATAATGTTTGCTGGCAGATGAAAGAACTTCACGAAATGAGACTGATGAAGTACATAACGACGTATTCTTATATATCATTCTTTTTTTGTGTGTATTTAGTACAGGGTCTCCAGGGTCTCACTACTTATATCAGACTTGTAATATCCTGTTTTCAGTCTTCCAAGCACTAGGATTACAGGCCTATGCCACCACGCCCAGTCTCAATCATCCTCTCAGCATGCCCCAGGGGTGGAGCTGGCACGCCTGGGATCGAACCCCGGCCACTGCACTTATATCATTCTTATATTCTTATTCTATAAGCTGATATTCTTTGTAACTATACTTTCTATATAACTATACTCTCATTATAACTCCCCATATAACTATATTCTCATTATTACATTCTCCTTAACTATTAATATATCATTCTTATATTATTATTCTACAGTCCAATGTTCTCTGTAACTATACTTTGGCAAATGTTAACCAGTTTCTTCTACATTCAACAGAAATATAAATTTCTAATTCACTAATCCTTCATGTTACTGTTCTTCATAGTTTGATAGAGCGTAAGGAACAGAATAGGAAGATTTCTGGATTCAAATCCAGTCCTTTCATTTCCTAGCTATACAATATCTTAAAAGTTTCTTAACTTCTTTTGGACTTAACTCTATAATGTACCCACAGGGATGTTACAACTCAAGCACTGTTCTGAGAACTAGAGAAATGAACATGAAGTGCTTATAGTATTTGGGACAGAGAAGTCCCATAATCATGTTCCCTGTTACTTTTGGTTTGCATTCACTTAAAAATAATTCCTAGTAAGCCTCCCTTTCATATTTCCTACACTTATCAGAAAAACCCTGCTCAAATCGTGGGGAAAAAAAAGAAAAGAAAAACCCTGTTCCTCTGAAACCTTTAAACACACTGAAAACAATCTCTGACTAGATGCCTCACAGCTAAAAGATTAGACAAAATAACATTATGCATTCTATCAACCTTTTCCTCAGTTTGTGACACGTTCTTTATTTTCTCTTTAGTTATGATACTAACATCTCAAACCTCCCACATAACATGTATTATATCTCATATAAGCATAAGCAAATAGTACCATGATAAACTATCCTAGGGATTCTGGAAGGAAGAAGAATGGTTAAATTTGAGATCTCTTAAAATGGAGGAAACTAATAAGAAATCAATATGCAAAAAAGAAACTGATATGCTCTCTGTCGACAAATGTAAGAGAAAGATTACATCAACTGCCTCTACAAAGGTTTCTCTATTAAATCACACTCATCTGTATTTAATAAGTCACTTGAGAATAAATGGGAATTTTAAAGTTAAAAAACAGTATAGTAGAAAATCTGTAAGTTAACGGAAAATCATGCATTGGCTCAAAGTAACAAGTGTGCTTTAAAAGAACACTATTGTAATTTTCCATATTTGATAGTGGCTACCTAACAGTTGCTTAAAATAAGAATAGCATATGCTATGTGCTAAATGCTTTTTATATTTGCTACAGTGTTGTACTTTGAGTAAAATGATCTCAAATAGAAAAGCACCTGTAGGGCAGTCACTTCAAAGGTCAATGGAATAACTCGAGGTCAATCTGAGTCTACACCAACAAGAAGAAGACAACTGGAAAGTCAGCTTTTCAGCTGGGGTTGACTTTGTTTCTGACTGTACTTAATTAACTGTATGACAAATAATCCTCATGTACCTGCTTGCTCAGATTACCATATATTATACAGCCGGACTCCAATAAAGACCATCAAAACCAGAACCTGTCCCATGCACCACTAGTTAGGGTGCTGATTAAGACTCACTTCTGTCAGAGTTTGTAGCTCAGCAAGGAAGAGAAAGCATGGTGGATAAGTAAAGCATCTAGAAGACAGCAATCGCTGTGAAGGAAATTTAAGCAGGGATGAAGGTTGCAATTTGCTATGTGGCAAATATATTTTCTGTTCTGAGTTAAACATGCAAAAACCTTTTGTGTGTCCACTAGTGCAATCTGGCAAAGCTCTATGCATGATAAGGTCTACTGCAACTCACAACTTGGTAACCTAAAGAACAAATTCACATACTATTATGTAGCCATAAAAAATTAACAGAAATAACAGTTCAATAACTCTAAAATCTACACTGTTCTGTGAATAAGCAAAATAAGAACATATATAAAATCGAAACAGTAAAATGCACGAATAAAAAGTGTCAGATTAGGTTATACATAGGCCTTCTACCCCAAGATGTAATTCAGTATTTTTAGTAATTTTCATTAAAACATTGGTATTAATGTCTCCATTAATTTTCCGAAGTCCATCTTCAGCAGGCCTCACTGCTGCTCTGAAATGCTTTTGTTGTGTATCAGTCCACATACCCATAGGTATGGGATTTCCACAAATGCCAAACATTACCCTTGTCTACTCATCCTCAGATGACTTTTTTCCCTGTCTTAATAAGAAGCTCAAAGTCATTTACTGCGAACTAAAGTAATCTTTATCACTCCAAAGAAAGTAGAGGTGGGAGGATCTCTACCTTCTCAAGATGCATTTTCTAGACAGTGGTTTTTGTTTCTTCCCACCCTCCCTAGCACCCTTCATCAGTGTCATCTAGTTGCCTCTAATTTTCTGCTGTGTCTGAGCTTGCTCCCTTGCCACCATCAGCAACAGACCAACTATCACTGACAGTAAACGAAGCAGCAGCAATCCTTTCAACCCTATAGACCAGTAGTTCTCACCTTAGGAATTTGGTCCCCAAAGGACATTTAACAACGTCTGAGGATATCTTCCGATTGTTACAACTTTGGGGGAAAGCGAACCTTCCTACAATAAAGAATTATTAGGCAAAAACTGTCAGTGGTGCTGGGGGTGAAGGGCACTAATATAATCCATGGAACTTACTACCTTGTTCTCTTCCCATCAAAGGACGTAAATATTCACTCACCACTTCCTACAAGTGAACACTCTCAGGCTCTGCAACTGGACTCCTACCCAAGGCTTCTGAAACTTCTTTGCCACACATCATTTAGTGAAAAATCCCAAATTTCAATGGCCATTCTTTGTCCTTAAATTGTACAGAATGTAAAAGTGTTAACCTGATTCTTCTTTTGACATCTGACATCCACAAAAATATGTTATTTCCCCATTGCTGTTCCTACCTCTTCTTTCACATTTTAGATGTGAACAAATAACCTCTCTTAACTCAGTCTTCTTGCATTCATCCTTTCGCACAATCCCAGCTCACCTCCCAAACTGCTCTCTAGTTTCAGTGTTTGAGCTCCTATCCCACTTACAATTACTTTATGAATGTCTTCACCAAGGAGTCTTCACCAGTGTGTGTGTGTGTGTGTGTGTGTGTGTGTGTGTGTGTGTGTGTACGTATACATTTTTAAATTTTTCCTTCTTTCTTTTCTTCTTTCCTCCAGCCCAGTTGTTTCGTTTTGTTTACTTTTGAGCAGTTTCTTTCCCTTTTACAATTTCTATTGTAACTTTTGGACTTTATTTACTCAGAATTTCTCTTTAATCTTTATCATTTTATAAAGCACCCTATCTTTGTTGTTCACATGAATAAAGCAGAGAATCACAGAACTCTATGACCAAAATAATTCAGCT